GAATTTGTATAGTTCTAGATAACTCTTGCTTGGATATTCATCTCTCCTAACTGCCTTGCAACACTGCTTAACTGATTTATGGTTTCGATTATTACATGATTCACATTTGTTTTCCAGTCCTCAAAGTGATCACTTGCATTCTGCCACTGCCGCCTGGTGCTTCGGATAGTACGTTCAAGACCAGTGATTTGTACTTGACAACTTTGCAAGACTGAAATAAAAACTATGCTAAATCAACAACCAAAAGTTTAAACAAACTTACGAGGACTGCAATGTATGAACTAAATTAAAGACAAACCATCAAACATTAGTACAAATAGGGACAAGAGTAAATAAGGACTAGAACATAATAAATTATAAACAGCAGGATCAAATCAAAAGGAAATAAACTTTATTAATAACCGAAATAAAGCATTACAAAGGCAAAATTACTAAAATTGCTATTATCCCTTTTATTCCAAAACACGCAGCTCTCCCCCTTTAGACGATGCCGTTTTATTAATTAATATGAAATATGGTTTTTGAACCCTTCTCATTCATCTTTTTCAACCACATAACAAAAAACAAAAATGGGGAAGAGAGCTCTCCCCACCCTGCCGCTGTACGGGGTAACCCAAAGCTCTGACCACCACAAACTGGTGGCCAAAAGGGCTTACAACACCCGAAATACGACCCCCAACTTTCCTAACCCCTAAATCGAAGCTTATGCACCCTAAAACTCTCCCAAAACGAAGCTCAAAATTAGCAAAAGGGGTCACATTTTTGTTGCTCGACAAGTTCTCTCATTGTCGATGAGTTGAAGACCGAGATAAGATTTCACTGTCCCTTCTTTTCCTTTGTTCTTTTCGTTTTTTTCTTTAATGTTTTTCGAGGGCTGTATTTCTCTTCCCCTTTTCTTCTCTCCTCCTTTCTTCTCCAACCGAATCCCTTTTTAATCTCTAGTTTAGGAGTTTATTTTAAAAATGAATTTTGTTGGATTCTGATTTGGTTGATTACCTTTACTGTTCGTGAGATGACGATGATGACGACACAATAACGATGATGGAAAGGAGCGATCAAAACAGTGGCAACAAAATTGGCGACGGAAAACAGAGCTCTTAGTTGGCGGCGGCGGTTGATAGAACCCTAGGGTTTAAAAACCCTAAAACATATAGGCTAGGATTTAGGATAAGTTTGGACCCGGGTCTGGGTTTCTGTTTGGGCCGGTTGAATTGTATCTGGGCCCAATTGCTAATGTTGGGCTAGTTGTAACCTGAAAAGAAAAAAATAATAATATAAATAATAATGATAATAATAATAATATTAAATATTAATAATAACCCGGACAAAAACGGGTATCTACACCTTGTCTTCCTAAATCTAAGTTCTCATAAAACACAATGCAATGTGCAAAGCTAAGATGGCAATCCATACAACAATCCTAGAAATTTAACAAAGAAAATCGATATTGAAACAACCAAATATATAACTGAAACTACAAACAAATATTAGCTTATCCAAACTATAATTTACACAAGCAGCCTAAATAACTGTCATGAACTCAAATTTATTTAACTGGAAGCAAATTACAACCAAATCCATAAATGAATGAAATCCCATTTCTTAGGACAAACAACTTAAACGTCAACAAAAATAACCTCAAAAGAAACACACAGTTCTGAGAACAATGTGAAAATCCAAGCTTTACCCATGTGAAAACAATCTAAGAACTGCAGAAGAACCAATTCGCACCAAAAATGGACCAAAAAGAAAGGTTATTTACCTATTTTCTTTTCGTGTTCTTTGAGAATCAGATTGAGTATTGAAGCAAAATCTAGCAGACCCAAGTTTAAAAGGAAGATGTGTTTCTCATTGTTGAATCTTTGAGATTAAGTTCCTCTGAACACTAATTTCCGTCCTATCATTATTTTTATTATTTTATTATACATGTATATTATATATATATTTTTATTTTACAGTCCAAGACTGCAACCCATGACCCGCTGAAGCCAAACCAACAACCCATTCCAGCCACATCCGAAGACTCCTCACCACTCACGCAACCACCGTCGGAGATTTTAGCAGCACACCACCATCGTCGATATTTTCAGCGCACAACCAAAAACAAAAAATAGAAAAATAAGATCAATGCTTAAGTTACAATAGGAGTATAAAATCAAGACTATATGTAACACTCCAATTTAGGGGCTAAAATTAAGAAATTATAAAGTGGTGGATTTAATTGGTATTTTGAAGGAAACAGTGGGTTATATTGTAAAATTTTAAAGTTGGAAGACCGTTTTATGAAGTGCAGGAAGTTCAGTGGCTAAACTCTTGGTTTAACAATTTTTATTTATGAGATGATATAAACCCCCCATTCCCATATGTTTCTGGAAAATTTTTCCAGCTTTCCCTCTCCAACAACCCTTCTTTGAACTCCGATCTACTTGCCGTTCGACCTCCGATCGACAAGCCGAAACCACCATCGTGTTCATTGTATAGCGAGGAACAAAACCCCTCAAAGCTTTTGTCGTGAATCGTCACCGTTCGTCGTTAATTTCAGTCGGAAGTATCATCGGTAATAACTCGATTTTAGTTGGTTTTTCATCGATTCACGACGATCGGGTCATCCATTTACGACACCTCTCGCACCATCGTGTTCCTTGTTCCGTTCCGAGTCTGCCGGTGTCATCCTTGGTCTCCGTCGACGGCGGCTCGTGAGGAGGTGAAGCGGTCAAAGTTTCCGATTTGTTGAAATCGAGCTCCCCGCCGTTCAAAATTGTGAACCGAGCTTTGTAAGTATCTCGAAATCGCTCAAAATAATTTTTAGGATTTTTCCGGGAATTTATCACTATTCACGCGCCCCCACGCGCCGCCACTGCGTGTGGGGAAGGAAAAAGTGATCGGTTTGACCGGTTTTGGAACTGTTTTGACCGGTCACAACCCGACCCGACCCGTTGACCCGATCTGACCCGTTGACCCGACCCGACCCGCTGACCCGACCCGATTCGTTGACCCGACTCGTTGACCATTGACCGGCGTTGACCATTGTTGACCAAAACTTTGACGGGCTTTGACCGGGCATTAAACGACCTTTGACTTTGACCGAGTATACCTATCATGACATTTTTCGACGTTCCAAATCCGATTCTGCAGTCCGTTTCTCGAAATTCAGACCCGAATGCCTCGAAATTTCCAGTCAAACCCGTTGACTTTGATTTTAACCGAAAATTCTGAATTTTCGAAAAGTTTTATTTTATGCTTTCGACGTCCTGAATCTGAATCTGAAGTCCGTTTCGCCAAATTCAAACCCGGTAAGCTATTTTTCACTGATTTATCACTTGATTCGATCCGTTTATCGCAATTAAGCTCCGTTTCTGATATAATTTATGTTAATATGTATCTGAGGAATTATTGGAAGTTGAATTGAAGATCAAAGGCGTTCAAATGGAATTTTTATGTTCGATCAGTATTGCACGGAAATCGAGGTAATACTTTACTAACTCTTTATGCTTTATGGAACATGTGAATATTGGTAAATGCATGATTAAGATAATGTTGGTCTCATTTGTGTAGTTACTTAGTTTCTATACTTGATCTGAATACGGTAAAAGGGTTCAGTAATTGATTATGGTTCAGATGATTTTTATAAGAAAATGAGGGATTGTTAGAATTAAATTACAAGTTTTGTGCTTAGTGATAAAGAAATCAACATGGATTTGTAACTTATAGTTTATTTCATCAAAGGTTAAATGTTAAAGGTATTTGGATGGGAAATTATGATAATACTCTGGTAGGGTAAAATTACGAAAATACCCTTAAGTTGTAAGATGTCAAGAATTGTCCCTGGAAGTTGATTAATTACTCTGAAAGGATATATTGATATGATAAAACTACATATGTATTTAAGAAATGCTAGGTTTTGCTTACGAAATACGGATAACCGGTTTTTAAACCCTAGAGGGTTTGTACAAGATATTAGAATTCTATTAAGGAATCATTTCAAGATAAGAGAATGTTCGGGAAAGCAATTGATCATAGAATCTCTAAATTATAATTATTTTCGTTAAGAGCTAATATTGAAATTATCTAGTTAAGAAATTACGGAAATGCCCTTGAGAGGTAAAATAGTCTGAGTTGACCCTGAATGAGAAAGTACTTTGAGGATTTGTACTTAACTCAATTAAGTACGAATTTAATTGTTAAGATCCTGTCTTCGTACAAAAAAATTCTTGATATTCCGTTTGTAAAATTTGAGAATGCACTTGACCCTGAAATATTCGAGTAATGAGTAAATACCTGAAGAATAATTTATCGGGGGTATTCTGCTATCAGAATTGTTCGAAATGACTGAAATAAATGATAAGATTGAATTTAATAGTAAGATCGGACGGAAGAAAATGATTAAAATACATTGAATCTGTAAAATGACCAAAATACCCCTGTAATATAAATGAATCAAGAATACCACCAAGCTCAAGAATGATTGGATATCCTCAAGCTCTGAAATGAATGGAATAAAACTGAATACCAAAATTACCAAAATACCCTTGTGACCTAGACTAAGTAGATGTTGGATTAATTAAGGAATCCAAATAAACATGGGTGTGGTACTGATCTTAAAAGTTATGGATCACCTATTAAGTCGAGCAACCAATGCTAGTGTTATATCAGTACCTGAATGACATAGATGTCACTTGAATGCATGTTTGTATTTTCAAGTTTGGCTCGATGATAGTTTTGGAAGTATTCAGCTCAACTCTATAACGCATTCAATAGTAAAGAGTTGATATTTGTTAGAAAAATCAACCACGAAAACCAAATTGAATTGAACGAAAGTACAGTATGTGTCCGAAATTCAGAAACGTCTAGATTACCTTGAAAACCCTCGAATATTATGGGAATGGACATGACTGCTAAATAAATTAGGTAAACTCAATGACTGAGGATTTAGTAAGTGATTTGGACAAGTTTGGAAACTCTGATGAGTTTACATAGTGTACAATTACGATGGTTTATGATTAAAATAATCAAGTACGTCAGCATTACATGATATTGTGGAAGCGTGGAAATGAAATAAAAACATTGGAAGATTTATTTAGCGATGATTCCGAAAATGGTCTATGGACAAGAATTTGTGGTATTAAAGAGTAAATACCATGGAAGAACAATGAATTGACCAATCGACAAGCATTAGTTCTGGAACTATTCACCTAAGAGTTGTCCGATAATCCGATCAATCGACATAGAATATAAATGTCCTGAACCTTCATTTCTTCCTTATCAGCTCAAGTCACATTCTGAATAACTGATGATTCTGTCAGTTATTGAACTCTTCCAATAGTGATTCTGAATTTCGTTATTCTATCGGTATACTAAAGATCCGTGTTCCTCTACTTGTTAAGATTATCCAATATCTTTGAATACTATCTGTAAATTCTGGTGTGTTCCCTACTCATATGAATATTTTACCTGATTTTTGATTTGATTTCTGATCTGATACTTGACATGGATTCTGATTTGATATCTGACATGGATTCTGATCTGATACTTGACTTGGATTTTGATCTGATACTTGACTTGGATTTTGATATGATACTTTACGTGAATTATGATTTGATTTTTGATATATTCGTTTACGAACGGAACATGTTTTATTTGGGGGGTTAATGTTGGAGGAAGAATACCTGGAGGTTCCTTGGTTGTGTGCTTAGGGCCTTACTTATCGGTTCCTCGGCTGTGTGCTCAGGGCCTTACTGGACGTGACGGGGTTGTATGGTTCTGGGGAACCTACACATTTTGTACATGACGGATGAGAGTATATATATATATATGTTTTAAAAGATCTGTATCTTTTTACTGGTTTTATTGGAACACACTAGATAACATATTTTGATCTCCTGAACTCAGTCATCCGAAATATTTGTCTAAACTGAAAGCTCATTGTCCATTACTATCTGAAATATCAGTAGGATCTCCGCTCAGCATAAAAATCTGTAAATGTTCGGAAATAATAAGGATATGTATGTTTATCTGAATCCGCACGTTCTTCAGCATCATCTGGTAGTTCTGTATTACTGAGCTTTTCGAAGCTCACTTTATTACTCACCTTTTCAGGTTAAAAGAATTGTACCAGTGCATCTATCGACTTCAGTAAGGGAGTTCTTCCAGCGTTGTTGCAGAGTATGGTACATGTGATTAGGGGGCATGTAATTGTATTTTGATTTATATACGAGTCTGGAAATTTGTTTTATTTTTAAATAGTGACAACTGATTTTATAAGTTACACGTTTCAATAAAAGTTTTAAATTTTTCGCTATTTTTACAGTGGGTCGCTCCGGTGGCCCAAATGTGACACCTCGGATCGGATCTGGTTACCCTTATTGGTCTGTGGGGGTTACACTATAAATACGTGTTAAGATGTAACAGAGAAAAGGGACGGAAATGCACACGAATATCACGAGAATACGAGGAGGAAACAGACTAGAAATCACAAAAATACGGGGTGAAATCATACGAAAAAGGGATAAAACCGGAACATATACGGAGAGGGAGCAGGCTTCCATTTTTTTCTCTCAACATAAAGTATTGTAATAAAGGGTTCCTCTCCATTCAAAGAAAAAAGAAATCAATTCATGTTGATCTCCTCTTTGAAAAGAAATACACAGTGAGTTTCTATTTCAAAGATTTGGTGCCTTTTTTAGATTTTCAATATCACATTTGAACCAAAAAATAAGGAGATAACAAAGAAATACAACACAAAATCAGAGAAAATAGATATTTTTAGAGATTTTAAAAAAGAAAAGAGAATAAAAGAGAGAAAAGAAGACTCATCTTGTTCGATGTTCCCCGGGAAGCTCAAAGGTCACTGGAATCTGAGTTGCCAAAAGCCTCCAGCTCAGGTGAACGATGGCCATTCATTGAACCAAAGAAGGTACGACCGTGCAAAGAAGATTTTTCTTTGTTTTTGTTGTTAACCCAAGAGAAAGTAAAGCTTTTAGAAAAGGAGTAAGGCTTTCATACCGGTATAATGAAACTCGTGCACTTCTTAAAGAGAGTGGGCCATTTTCTTTTGTAATCTTTCAAGTTTTAATGAAGTTCATTTTAGCCCTAAGTGTCATTTATGGATTATTTTCGTTTTAGACCTGTACTATTTGATGTTTGTGATTTTGGCTCTGGTTAATTCGAAATTACTTTTCAGCCCTTTTTAATTTTTGTTTTTGCTATTTTAGACCTGTAAATTTTTACTTTAGCTATTTTAGTCCTTTTTATTTTTGATTTTATTTATTTATTTATTCACGTTTTTAATTTATTTTTTCTATTTTCTTTTTTTCTTTTTTTATTCTTATTAATTTTTTTTCTTGGTTAACTAACATTTTTATTATTATTTTATTTTATTTTATGTTATTATTATTTTTTATTTTCTATTATCTTTTTCTTTTTTTACTAACTTTTGTTTATCTTTGTCATCTATTTTATTTTATTATTATTATATTAATATATTTTTTTTCTTTTTTTTCCTTTTTTCGTATTTATTTTTATTTTACCATCTAACATATTTTTGACCTTTTTTCAATAGTAACGTCAATCGATCAAATGTAATTATTTGAATCAATGTTTTAAATTTTAATTTAATTTTTTTAATTTTTGCAATTAAAGACAATCGACAAATTAATTAGTACCGAAAAGGCGGTTCAAATGTGCTAATCCTTCTTTGACCGTAACCGACTCCCGAACCTGACACATTTCTGGTAAAACACAAACCATGTAAGATGGTGTTCGATCTACCTAAATGTTTTTTAAATGATTATGGGTGACTCTAACATTTCTTTTCAAGCCGAAGCTCAATTCCAGGCCCAACCGAAAGACGGCCTCGACAATTTCTTAGAAGAATAAGAGCCCTTTGCTTTGTTATCAAAACAGAGCTACATTCACCTGCATCACTTGCTGTATCAAAGTGAGAACCTCCCCGCACTAGATTCAAGTTAAAAGGGACACTTCATAAAAAATAAAAGAATACCCTGGCAGTCAATCATATACCAGTTAAGCAACTCTTCCTCTGTTGCAGTTGAAGCGGTTATAAATGCCTGCAACAAGTAACACATAAATGATCAAACAACAGTTATAAGGAAATGACATCCATAACAGGCTATAATACAAAGTGCAATTATACATCAGAGAGCAAACCAATTATAAAAACCACATAAATCCCGAAAAGAAAAACACTGTTTAAGCCCATCATCAATGAATATCAGAGCCACTCAGATATACTCATTAAAGCCCATCAATGAATAACCTGTGGGTTATGGGCCCACCATGCTTCCGCTGCGCCACTCTGATATACTGATTAAAGCTTCATGAGAAATAGATATATGATCATGTACCTAGCTACTTTTTTAGCAGGTATTAGATCCATGAATAACTGAAGCTGTTCATGCAAGTCTAGGAAAACAGACAATAATGATAATCATACAAGGACGACTGTGGAAACATCATATCTGTAACAGCGCTGATGACGCTGTTTAGTTAAACACAGGCGAAGAGTACGATGGGAGTGACTCCGGATGAAGTTGTTTCATGGGGGAAGATACGAGCGCGACTCTTCTAAAATAGTTGAGGTATATTATTTCTTCCCTTGGGACTTTCATCTTATTTTGTTTGCTTACCTACTTCCTTTTTCTTAGAGATAAACAAATAGATCGTCCTAGTCCCGACTCTTTTCATGATTGCATTGAATAGGTTTATTCTGATGCAATCTACTCCTACTAATTGTGGTCACCCTTGTTATATTATTCAGCTCCAACAAATAAGCCTTTTGGTATATTTCCTGAGATAATTACATTGATTTTGTGCCATATTGCAGTTAATACATTGATTTTGTACCATATTGCAGTTAACATATTCTACCTTTAACATGTTGACTATCATTTTCAAATATACTTCTGTCCACTTGTCTTTGCTCTGGGTTTTTATTGTGCTCTAAATTTATGCACAACCTGATTTCCAAAGTGATTTGATCCTGGAAAGAGTACTCCGTTAACTAAACAAGATTGTTTTTTGCCAAAGCTGGCTTGGCAAAAATGTCTGTATTTCAGCCCAATGTTAATGACAAACTTTTCTATCATTTGCAACTTAAATAAGTGAAAAAATTGACAGCTGTGGGATTTAAACCCACGCCCCTTTCGGACCAGAGCCTAAATCTGGCGCCTTAGACCACTCAGCCAAACTGCCTTGATATTAGGTGTTAAATTTAAAACTTACATAACATTTAACATGTTGGAAAATTACAAAAATTGGCCATAAATGACTTGAAGACATTTAATGCCTCATTCTTTTCCTGAGGAATTCCATTTTTATGGCAATAGAAAATCATGTCATATGAATGTTGAGAAGAAGAAAAACAAAGAAAAAGACTACCAAAAGTGAAAACCAACAACATTAGATTCTACATATCCTTGGTAAGGATCAACAGCCCAATCTAAGGCTTCTTTGCCATCTTTCTTTTCGTTTTTTAATCATCACAACATTTTTCCTTTCTTCAGATAGCCTTAGGAGAGATACTGTAATCTTTGTAAGATTTTTCACCAATCAGTAAATATGAATGTCCAAAAACATCCACAAGTATCTAAAACCAGGTTTGTTCACATACTTGTTAGCTAGAAAAGAAGTATGTGGAGTCATCAAGAGGCTTCGATGTATAGTGTTGAGATGACAATTCTCTTTGGATGAATCAAATATGAGCTATTTCCTTTTCTTTCCACAATGAATCCGGACTTGCAGATTTTCCTCGGGTGTGGATAGGCTGCCAAGAGAAGCTTCGTTGTGCTTCACTTATTTAACCAGTAGAGCATTCAATGTTGGGGTCGCATTTTGATGCCAGAATGTTTTGCCAATCCCAAATATGCCAGAAAAGACCTCACATTCGTTGCAAACGCACCGGTCATAGCGAGGTATCCACCAAGCTATATACATTGGGAGCCGTTGTACCAAGTTGGCTGATGTCTCTAAGAGACGTAGGGTTTTATTTTCTCCCA